TGCATAATGTGCAACTCGAAGCGCCCATTGGTCCTGTGGGAGCTGTAGATTGTATCCTTCTGTCGATAAATTAGCAGGAAATCCAGGCCACCAGTAATTGACAACCGGAGCAACTAGAGCTACTCCTGCCAACCTATTAGCACCAGAAAAAATGCAACTTTATATTTGAGAAAAGCAATCAAATTTCATGAGTAAATAGGAAGAACTACCACAGAGAGGTAAAGAACATAGCCCTGTAGAAAAAAAGCAGAAAATACAGGAATTACTGGAATTCTAGTTGCTGTTCGTGAGAATAGCGAGGTTCCACAAGAAAGTAGCAAAATACCACCGAGGGGAACTTTGATTCTGTCAAGTTGTGTAATAGTGAGATCTACGTTTCTTCAGTTACACCACTATACCTTTCAGGTGAAGATATGTATCATAGTGACAAGCAGTTAAGGTGAAAATCTGCTAAATTTATAGAACAGTTTGTTTCATGTTGGAAATGCTTTGCTATATAATCAATACTTCCTCCTCCTCTGTTAATTCTTAGGTCGTTCACATTTTGTGACTGATGGGTTATGATAATGATGACATGGCAGTTGAACGTTAAAGACGAGATTTCATGAAGCATGTTGCTCATGCCAAGTGGTTTTCAGGCATCAAGCTTAAAAGCAAAAGATCATCGCGTACATTATACCTACCGATTAGGGATGTACTTGAGGCAACCCCAAACTGACTGACCACCCATGGAAAACCCCATAACATAAAACTTAGGGCCAAGTCCCAGTTGATCAGCGAGCTCTTCCATATCCAAAGCTGTAGTTTGTATTGTTCGCTCTGGATCAGGATCACTTTCCCCATAACCAGGTCTATCAAAAGAGACAACATACGCCCCTAATTCTTCAAGTGTTTCCTGAAAGAAACAACACAATCCATACCAATCTCAGTTCGATTATACTCTAACAGAAGCAGAATTATAAGTTTGACAAAGAGTTGATGAAATCGTACTAAAGGTGCAACAGCGGCATCATATCTGCAAGAACCAAAGCTATGAGCATATATGACCTTATATTTGGCAGTTTCTTTGGGTACACCATGCTCCTCGTAAGCTAGATGTCTTCCATCCCGAAGTTTGATTCTCGGTCCAGTAACTAATGGACCACCAGGAGAGCCACAAACTTTGGGAGGTGGAGGTTGGAGGGTCGGGAATGCCCACGCTAGACCTGCAACCAACAAGACAACTAAAACTTTCCCAAGCATACCTGAAGCCCTGAACACAAGACATACATAGCTCTTACAATATTATTGGAAAATGTAGATCACATAGTGCAACTATACATAGTTTGAATGACAGAGGGCCAAAACCTAGGAAATACTGATGACTTGGAAAAACATCTTTTTTTTTCATAACGGATACAGATGAATTAGTTGAGGAAAAAAAACATTTTAGATTATGCTTACAAGGAAAGTTCAGCTTTTATATGACAATAAAGAAAATAAAGAATGGTGGCGAGGTGATGATGAAGAAGTGAATGTGGAATGCACAACTGAAAGGCAAACAAATTAAACGAGATGTAATAACTCATAATTAGGTATTCTATTGGAATTTTCAACTAAAACAAGTTCTTCAACAAGTAAGAAACGTAATCGCCCTCTTTTTCGTTAAGATTGAAGGGTTGCAGTCACAAAACATAGGTATGATAACCCTAGCTGATCTAAATGCCAAATTCCCTAAACTTATGAATTCATCCACTCGAGTCCTACAGCCACATTTTCCTCAATGTGGCAAGAAAAAATTGAAGTAAAAGGTTGTCTATGACTTAGCTTGGATTATACTTCCTTTAGGGCGAGAGGCACTTTTAACTTCAACGACAGATTCCTATGTCTTTCTTTAATCCTCTCGGTCTAGAGCCTATTACAATTGGTCTTGGCAGTTGAACAACTTGCACCTACTTTACTATGAACTAAATACAATAGAAATGAAGCTAGATTTGGCATATGCAAACATAAAATTACACAAGTATAACTTTTTATTTTCTTCTCTATACTTAATTCTTCTCTCATATTCCACCAAACCATTAGCTCTTTTTGTTTCCTTTTCTACTCTTCTTTTCTGGCTATTCTAATTTTCCTCTTCAATCCCTCTTTGATTCTCAATTTTTTCTCAGCAACTCCAACTTTTTCTTTTTATAACCGTGGTGTTCGTGCCAGCTTGCACGCACCTCAACTAATTCCATGGGATACGAATTGAACCTAAGACGTCATGGTTCTCAACACACTTCATTGACCATTGCGACACACCCTTGAGTGCAGCTGCTACTTTCCTACTATAATTCTCCTTCCCATAATTCTAATCCTAAGCATTTTAATCAATTAATCAACTACGCCTTAATCCTAAACTAGTTGAGTTCAGTTGCATGAATCTTCAATAACCATTCTGCTCAATCAGTTAAAATATAGAAGTCATCAATAAAATCTCTTCTATAGCAATAAAAATTAATCCTAAACTAGTTGAGTTCAGTTGCATGAATCTTCAATAACCATTCTGCTCAATTCAGTTAAAATATAGAACTCATCAATAAAATCCCTTCTATAGCAATAAAAAATCGAATCTTGATTTCACTTTTAGTTAAAGACCGTCAAATTTATAATTGTACAAGGTGGGTGTCTTTTAATTATGCAGTAACATACCTTGACTGGAATTGGAATGGAAACAAGTTGAGTCTTGAAGATGATTCAATGGCTTTGTTTGGAGAATTTTACAGGCTTGAGGTTTAACAAATGAGAAGACAGTTGGGTTAACTTATTAGAACAGTAGGGGGAACTGTATAAAGATTTTGTACAAGTCAAGAATGTTGGGTGAAGTCCCTTTTTTTGAATAAATTGAGACATTGAAAGGTGACAGCAGCAGCCAAATTTATTTGTTGAAAAAGTCGAGGTGACCATTTTATGGTGGTGGTTGGTCCTGGTCCACCAGCAGCACCTACTCTATAATACATGGTACTAGCTCCATACAAATTGAGGTAAGCAAATTCTGAAAAGCTTGTTAGTTGTCCTTGTCACACATTAGTAGGTGGGAGGAAAATTTATCGTCTTAGATAGTGGAGATTTAGGCATAAGAATATGAAATTCCGAAAAAAAAAAGTAAAAAAAACAATTTAATTAAAAACGGTATTTGAAAATTATAGTTATATTTGGACATGTATACAATTTTGAGTTGTTTTTAATTGGCCAAATGGCCTCGTGACCACTTAAACTTGTACTCCCTTCGTTCTAATTTATGTGAACTTGTTTGACTGGGCACGGAGTTTAAGAAAAAATGAAGACTTTTTGAATTTGTGATCCTAAACAAGTCAAAAAAAGGGTCCAGAATATTTGTGTGGTTATAAAAGCATCTCATTAAGGGTAGAATTGGATGTTTAAGCTAAATTGCTTCCAAATTTAGAAAGGGGTCATTCTTTTTGGAACGGATCAAAAAGAAAATATGTTCACATAAACTGGAACGGAGGGAGTATCAGTTTGTAAACCTGATACATAAACTTACACTTTTCTCATTTGAACAATCCAACTTGACGAAATGAGTATGAATAAAATATTGTGACTATTGACTATGCTTACGTGGCAGTGACATGTCAAGCAATAAACAGTCTAGCACATGACGTGTTGTACATTCAATTGATATACACACTCTGTTGGATTTGTTTATCGGTACTTATTTGGAAAAAGTATAAGTTTGTATATTGGGTTTGCAAACTGATACAAGTTTAAATGGCCACAAAGTCATTTGACCTTTTTAATTTTCGAAAAATTTCAATATTCAACTTCAAGTAACATTTAAAATTTTCATGGTCAAACACTACTTTTCAAAAAAAAAAAAAAGCGAAAAAAATTCGGAAAAAAAAAATACGGTCAAACGGGCGCAATTCTCATCTTTCGATCTTTGAGTTAGACGCAAGATCTGTTTCTTTATCAAAGCTTTGGAATGATTCCTTCTCCCGAGCCCCACAAGAAAAAGAGGAGAAAGTGCTCGAGATTATAATACTAGGATGAATAATTCCATCATTATAATCCTGAAATAACTTATTCTCTAAACAAATGCCTTCTAATAATTTAATGTAAATTAAATTAATTATAAGAGTAAAAGCTCCTGAAAAAATAAGAGTAAAAAACTACCGACATACAATTGGTTTTTACACAGTCATTGAATTTAAAAAGAGATTAATATCAATTGGATATGTAGTATTAATAATCCTTCAATTATTTAGTACATTTCCTTTTGTTTACTTCGAAAAATGTGAGCAACAATTAAATATAATTTGTGATTTTAAAGATATGTGATTTATTTCAATATTAGTGAATATACAAGTAATGTTAGGTTTAAGTAAGAAGAATTGATGAACCAAACCAGTGTTGTTAGAGCAGTTGGGACCTCGAGCTCGATAATAAAGGGGGCTTCGAGATGGGTCAAGAACAATAAAGTAAAAACAATAAAGCTGAAGGAGAATTGTGAGCTCAGTAAACGAGAAAAGCAGAGTAGAATATTCTATTGCTGTCAATGAGAAGATGCTTACAAATGATTGAGGTCCCCTTTATATAGAAAGGGAAAACCCTAATATGGTACATTCCTAATTATGGCAAAGAATTCTATTGGTACAGCTGTATAGTGACCTAGTACAGACTCGTACTATTTCGTACAAATCGTATCCCATAATTTACACCTTGATCCACGTATCCTTGAGAAATACTCGCTCTTTCTTGAGTGTCACCGAGATTGGACTGACCTCGAGGCAGATTATGACGGGCCCCGATTTGCTACTCGAGGTGCGCACATCTCGGCCAAGCTCGATTCTTACTCCGAGCTTCTCGAGCTCGGGGCATGATCAAATACTCGAAATTGAGCTCTTCAATTTCGACCGTATATAGATAATCCCCACGTTTCTTAGAATGAAATGATATGAAACAATTTGAATTCCCGAAGTCCTTTACGATAATATCATTCTTATGACGTAAGCATTGAAATGACTGAAGCGTCCCGTCGGTTCTTTTCCCCAAAAGCACTAAATGCGCGTCAGAGCCGGTCGGCCATCAATATCAATGAACAGTCGTTGCATTCTTCTATATATACTTGCTTTCTCTTCTTATTAAGAACTTTTCCACCATGTAACACCTTTTTTTCCTATATACGCTTCCTTCTCATCACCAGCTCCTCCGTCGTATTAGCTCAAAGCTTCGCCGATTGATTCATTTCTCCCTTCTTTTTCTAAAGAACCGATGGCAAAAACTTCCAAATCCGTTCCTCAGAAAGAAGGAACCTCCACTTCTACTTCCTGTCCGAAAACCGCCGGCGCTTCATAAGATCATACCAAGCAATTTTTCTTTGAAAAAGGACTTTATAGTTGAGAACCCTCCCGATGTCCCTGGCCGTCGAGAGCACGCATCGAGGTATATAAGGTCAATTGAGAAAAAATACCTCGATGCGGTGAGGAGAGAGTGTAAATGGGGAGAGGAGGTCGTTTTTCAATCGTGAGGAGGATATCACAACTTACGTAGAGGGGTTCCTGAGTATATATACATACCCTTTTACGTTGGGTCCCCTTGACCCGATCGTTATTGAATTCTACCGAAGATATCAAGTAACCTTGGGCCAGATTCATCCATCATATTGGCAGATCGTGATAATGATGAGGTTCTTCATTGAAACGGTCGGGCTCGAATTCACCCTCAGCCACCTCATCCGATTATACCGACCTCAACATTTCCGAGGTTTAATCAAACTCCAACGCCGATCAACCAAGTCCTTATTTGCCAGTAACAACGAAGGCAAGGAACGAGGTTGGATGAGTCGATTCATCCGGGTGAGGACCGTCGATGTCATCCCCAAGGAGTTCCTGTCGTTTCCCGAGAAATGGAACTTTGAACGTGAGTGGAATTCTTTGCTTCAATTCTTTTCCATAAATTTTGCTAAACTTCGCATAATTATTACTTTCCCTTTTCAGCAGCGGTCCCGTGGATGCCTAATGCGGTCCTCGACCTCGAGGACTGGGTTCGCAAACTAGATGCTACTTCATCGTACGACAAACGCAAATAGAAGGACTTGTCGAGGGGCAAGTGGGAAGCGAAACACCACGGTATGTGTTATAATATTTCTTTCCTTACTAAGAATACCTTTCTTCGTATGACCTGATTCCTTTGCCGTAGGTATTGGTGAGTTCTCCGAGATAAGGCCGCCCCTTCTTGGGGAAGAAGTAGGACCTTCGGCTCCAAAGCCAAAGAATTATAACAAGAGAAAAGATCCTCGAAGAGCGAGGACATCCAAAACCAAGCAGAGCCTGCTCGGAGACGCAAGAAAAGCGTCGTCATCAACGTGGATATTGACTCAGTTCATCAGTCTATGGATGATGATGATGACGAGATGGAAGGTTCGACGTTGGTGACTCGAACCAGGATATCTTCCGAGGCTATCAAGCCTGCTGAGATCGAGGCCTCTAGCCTCGAAGAAGGAACTTTGAAAGAAAAAAGGGATGAAGGCCCTGTATCACCTGACGTGGTGACTGCTTCCTAAACTTCTGGATATACTCCGAAGGGAGCGAGCTTCAAAGCTCCCTTGCCTGAACAGAGCGCCTCGGGTGATCTCCCCGAGGCCATGAAAACGGTTCATTCTCCGTCATTTTCGGTCTTCTCCGAGAATGCCATTACGGGTGCTCGGAACCTGAAGACGTACGAGATAGGCGGATTCCTGAGTGAGAACGATCCCTTCAAGGGTTGCTTTGTTGGGGTCGATGATGCCGACCCAGCAGATGCGAGCTTAATCTTCGAGAAGGCTCAACGTCTTTGCTCACTTGTAAGTTTTTAGTGGCACTGCAATTTCTCCAATGTCATACTTTTCTTCTTATGCCTATTCGATCATTCTTTTCCTTTTTGTAGGCTTTCGACAAATTGAAGACCGAATTGCGTCATTGTGAAGCTGAGCTGTGTAGAGCTTCGAAGGAAGAGAAAACCCCTAGGCTTCTCTGTGGCAAAAAGGAGGAAGAACTGAAGCATCTTCGGTCGGAGTTGACCAAAGCTCGTAAATACGAGAATGAGTTAGAAAAGTAGGTAACCTCTATTCTGGAAATATGGGCTACCTCTCCCTTCACCCGGGGCTAATACTTCAATGTCTCAGCTGCAGCAAAAGATAGAGATGCTGGAACGTCTTAGTGGCGAGGTCGACCAACTCAACTCCGAGTGCAATAAATGGAAGGCAAAGATAGACACCCTCGTTGTGGCTAAAAATGATGCACTGGCGAAGGTTTCGGCCCTCGAAATTCAACTTCACAATGCTCAGGAGGGCAACTTGGTTCAGGCTGGCAGGATGATCGCACTCGAGGCGAGTCTTGCGAGGGCCGAGGCTGAAATTGTAAAAGTCCTGGCCGAAGCCAAAGAAATACAAACCAAGGCCAACAAGATGGTGGCCATCTATTTGAAGGATGTTGCAGATGCTTAGATGGAGTTGAGGAGGGCTGCCGACCGAGAGAAAAGAAGCAATGAATATGTCGATCTCGTAGGGAGACCCTCGAAGAGGTCCATGCTAAGGGCTTCGATCTTTCCGAGGAGATAAAGCAAGCTGAAGTTGATGCCAAGTTTGTCCTTTCCTCCGACAATGATGACGACGTCGAAGATGATGAAGAGGATGAGGTAGCCGAAGAAGCTACCCCCAGGGAAGAAGCTGGTCCCGGGGGAGTGACAGGTCTGGGGGGGATGCCCCTCTGGTGTAGGTAGAATTTTTTTCTATCTTTCTGTAATTTTTTTGCTTTGTAGGACTCCTGTGTAATATTTTTTTTGTATATATATAAAGAAGAAGGAGTTTTCTTGATCGTTTGCCTTCAATTTTTCTTCAAAGCTTGCTTGATTTTCGATGCTATAATTTTTGAGTGTTGATTCAAATTCGGGGTCGAGTAGACCCTCAAGTTTTGTGTTTTGATTGATAATAGGTTACCATTTAAGGTTCGATCTTTGAGCTAAGCCTTAGCTCGGGACATTTGAGCTGGGTAAGGTCTCGAGCATAGTGTGTTTTGGCCTTTAAGCTCCTTAAATATTGGTCTTTAGGCTCTTTAGGTTGGCCCTTAGGCTCTTTTGGGTTGGCCCTTAAGCTCTTTTAGGTTGGACCTTAGGCTCTTTTAGGTTGGGCCAGTTCGGCTGCTAAAATGGCTATAAATTTTCCCTTTTTTTGGCTAAAGACTTAGTGAAATTTTTTTTATGCCTTAGCATGTATTTTTTATATTCATATTCGTTTGATTTTTTTGAAGGTTCGATTGATTGGAACCTCATTTGTAATTTGATATGCAACGTTAATCGAATACCTCTTGAGGTTTTTTCAAAGGCTGAT